GCACCCAGGCATCAAAACACACCCAATCATCGAGCAAAGAGAAATTGACATCCAACTTGTCACCCAGTTCATGTACCACAGAAACTCACATTTTCATTTTCTTACGAAGTTCAGCACTTCCTGTGCCTGAGCTACACTTCCTTGCTGAACCATCTATCCCATATTCGGAGGGGCTGGACAAGGACTTTCAGATGGCTAGTCGGAACAACCAATGGCAATTCTGCATGTAACTTCACCTCAGCGACACACCAAGTTCTCTCCATTATGGAATTCGACTGAATGGTTTATCAGCTGTATGATTTTACTGGCAGTTTGCTTAACTGCAAGTTATTTGGGAGGGACATCAGGTCTTAAATCACTATTACTACAACTCATCCAACAATGGAAGCAACTATGCCAAGGTAAAAAAATATAAATATCTAAGAAATATTGCCAAAAAAAATTTAAAATTGACTGGCCTTGCAAAATTTTGAAGAGCAAGCTACTGGTCAGACTCAAAATGTCAAAAATTATATTCCAATAACGCAACTGGCTGATCTATTCTAACATTTTTATAATTGATCAACTAGATGCATACAATTACGTGGATGGGTCAATTTCCCTACCATGTAAAATACACCTAAACTGTTGATTGTGTATAACCCACGCATTCAGAAACAGCAAATTCAAATATATCTACAGCTTATGAGCTGGCTTATTTTTGTCTTTTATTGAATTTTTTTCTGCTTTTAAGTCAATTCTTCACTTTTTAGGTCCATCTCTAGACTAGACTAGATAATTCTAAAAATTAAAAATGATTTTTTTTTTTTTTTTAAATGTTCACCAAAAACAAAAATAAGCCAACTTCTTTTAAGTCTTTTTGGCTTATTTTCATCTTGGGTAAATTACACTTTACTCCTTTTATGTTTGACCATTTTTCCACTTTGGCCTTTAAAGTTTTTTTTTTTTTTTTTACTTTGACCTTTCATGTTTCAAGCTTTTCCCACTTTGCTCCTAAAGTTAATTTCTGTTAAAAATTAGACAGAAAATAACACATTGACAGTCACATAGCATGAAAATATTTTATTATATATATCTCACATCTCTAACATAAACTAAAACTCCAATATAATAATACATTTTTTATGTTATGTGAGAATTATTGTGGCATTTTCTGTCTAATTTTTAATCAAAAATTAGCTTGAGGAGTAAAGTCAGAAAAAATTTGAAATATCAAGGGTCAAAAAGGGAAAAAACAAACTTTAAGGGCCAAAAAGTCGGAAAGTGGCCAAACATAAAAGGGACAAAGTGTAATTTACCCTTTCATCTTTAGTAGGCTTTATCCAAAAAATAATAATTTTTATTATTGAGAGGGTGATTTATGATCTGGAATTGGGCCGAGACATCGACCGAGCAGGTTGAAAGCCCAGCAGTGCATTGGGCCGAGATGATCGACTGTTCGCCCAGAGAAGGGCTGCCAGAACTAGGGCCGGGCAGAGTTCGGGCTGTGTGCCACCCCGGACCGGACAGAAACTGCTCGGCAAGGCAATGCTCGGTCGGACCAGGATGCTCGGTCCGAGGATGGCCAAAGCCAGATAGGCCGAGTGACCGGCGCCCGGGAAGGCGCGGACATCCGAGGAAGTTGTCTGACCGGCAGAAAGGCCGACCCCAGGAGGCACCTCGGGCTAGGCTTTGCCGAGATGCCGCCTAGCCCGGTCCTCAGTCTTGGCCAGTGGAGGCACCTCGGGCTGGGCTTTGCCGAGATGCCGCCTAGCCCGGTCCTCCTCAGTCTTGGCCAGTGAAGTGCTAGGGTATGGAGCACGGCATGGCACAACAACGGATAGGGCAGCTCGGCTGCCGAGCTCCAGCTGTGATGACAGGCAGTTGAGGTTAGGTGATGAATGGCATGGTTTGTGCTGATAGATGGGATAGCAGAGCCACGCGTCAAGAGATAACTGGGAGTGGATATGGGGCTCAGAAGGTATGTAAGCATGTCTGCGCCCCCCATACGCGACACACGAACGTCTCTGTAAGGGATTCTTACACTCAAACACTCTCTCCCTTCTCTCTCGATCCATCCTAAAGTGTGTGCTAACTTGATCGTCGGAGGGTTTTTCCGGCCACACACCGCCGGGTAGCTCACCGTTACTTGCTCGCAGGTGATCGGACATCGACGGAGCTCGGAAGAAAGGAGTACGGGCTTGCCGGAATATTTGCTCCCCGTACAATTGGCGCCGTCTGTGGGAAGCTTGACAGATAAAACCTTGTCTTCCAGGCTCATCTGATCGCCGTCCATGGTGAACAAAGACGAGATTCCGTTGTCCACCATCGATGGAGCTACCCCGGAGTTCACTCGACGGAGAGAAGGACATCCTGTCATCCTTCCAATGGCGAATTTGGATACGTTCACTGGAGGACAGTCAAGAGACGCGCGGGATAAGCGCGGAAGAAGTTATGGTCATTCACGAAGTCCAGACGGACATCGGCGGCGGAGAGAATCACATGCCCGACGTCTGGAACACAAGTTGAGGGACCAAGAAGCTGTCATCCGGCAAATGGCAGCGGAGATGGAGGAGTTGAAGCGGCATGTCAAGGGGAAGGGTGTAGATGGAGTGGTAGACCACAGAGAACCACAAACAACCATATCACCACAGCAAACTTAGCCAAGTTGCTCACTATTTTTTCTCCTACAAGAAAGCACGAGGTCTATGAGAAGGATGCACGAGGTCTATGAGAAGGAAGTTGGACATTAATTAAACAAAATGAGTACAAATAAGACATTACTCAACTGTGTGCAAATACTAGTGATGGAAAGGGGAACCAAAGGATCATACCAACATGCTGGGAAGGTGGACCTCTAAATGCAATATTTATTCGATGTTCAAGAACCCAAACAGCAAATCCAGTAAAGATGAAGAAAGCTATGCTTGTTAGCCACAGGTCCATATTGAACGGTTTCAAGAAGATCCATTTACTGTTATTGTCCTCATATGTAATTGGTACTATCATGGAAACCCCTCCATCTGCAAACGGCAATGTGAAATCCACATAGAACGACCGATTTGTTGTGATTGTAATGTCCCCTACTGCAGCATCATAATTCTAATTCGACCAGCAAAAAAAACCTCGCATTTTTAGTGTTAGTTCCATAAGAATAAACTGATAATTTCAAAGGCAAATAAGCCATTAAAAATCTTATCTGTAAGTATATAACTGACCTGCTGAAGATAAACTTGGTATACCAGATCATTATAATAATTCTCATCATCAACTTTCTTGAGGGGAACGTACTCACTTGGCACATCGTATGGTAATGCTTTTAATACATAATCAAATATTTCTATACAATATCCACTGAATGTTGTGGAATTGGATTGAGAGTCTATTTCCACCTTTGCAAATTCAGTAAAACCATCTTTTACTGGGACCCCAATTCTTAGCTTCTTACCTTTTACTGGAATTTCCTAGCCTTTCGGTACATGTGTTGAATCTTTAGGCCATATAATTGCTCGAAAGTTTTCCTTCAAAGTTGATGAAGAATTTGCTGCATTCATGTTGAATTCCCTTGAAATTCCATGAGATTGTGTCCAGATTCCGACCTCTCTCTCCCCCTTTCCAACTACATTTAATATTTGGAATGGCGAAGGTTGTAATCGTCCATTAACAAGATAGAACTCACCACTCAACCCTTCAAATCTTGTCTCCAACATTGCTTTGTGAAGTTTAGGACCTGTTTGAGAGATTCCAAAACTAAATAGGTTTGTCAAATTCATTGCATTTTTCTCTAAAGTGATTGGCTTCCTAAATCCAATTATCTCTACTGCCATTGCCAGTGCCCACATAGTGTCATATGCCCATAGCCCAAAACTGCTTATCTCAGCCTGTTTGACAGTAGGATTATCCTGAAGAAACTTCATCTTCCACCTAAATATGGAAGAGTCGAGTTCTGATGATTTGGGAATGCGAGGCTTTACCCCAAGACACCTTGCATTGCTTCTATGACACGAGAATCCATTGAGTAGAGTAGGTCCATTAGCCCATCAGTGATGATCCATGCGTAGCCCTCAGACAGCATTCCTATTTCCTTAGCTGTAAGAAATAAGCGTGTGCCAAGAGAGTGCGTCATGTGCACCACGAATACCCTTGTTTCCATTCTCATCATCTTGGATAACTCACTGAGTATAAAATCATCACTAGCTGAAAGAGGAATGATGCTTGTGTAGGAAATTCGGGCGATATCTTGTAATGCATTTGACAAATATGGAACTACTCCATTCCCATAGTCTGTGTCTTCATAAATAATGACAACTTCTTTCCATTGGAAGGCTTCAATAATGGCAGCAATGGCCCCAACTTGAGTGTCATCTCTAAGAGCTGTTTGAACAAAGTATGGAGTTGGGAAAAGCACAGAAGGAATTGTTGCAGAGAAAGAAATGATAGGCACATGAGCTCTGTCTCCTAGTTCCATCACAAAATTGGCTTGTGAAGATTTTTGAGGACCAACTATTGCATCCACCTCTATATCTTTCAACAAATCAAGAGCTGTATTTACATAACAGAGAAAAATTTAAGATAGAAAGTAATAATTAAGTACTTCTGTGTGCATAAGTACTAAGAAGATTAATGCAGATGTATAAACATACAGTATAATATTTTCCTACAAGATTTAATTCACCTGAAATTATGTACTAAATTATATACAAATTAATGCTATTGCCTGTCTGATACACCCAATGATCCTCTATTCTTAAATCTCACTGTCCTCCTGTCCAAAACACTACAACCATTAGGCATAATATGCTAAACCTAACGCGGACCCTAGCTCATGCCAAGCTGGACCGAGCAGAACATGTGGCATAATAGGATAGGTCTGTGTGTAAGGTGGTTTGGAGGGAAAAATATGGGTTCCAGGCCCAACCCAAAAATGGAAAAGCCCAAAAGATTGAAATAGGCCCCAAAAACGGATATCAATCCAGCACTCCAAACTTGGATGCGTGAATGAAAAGATATTCTTCTAGAAGGGAAATCACAGGAGATAACCAGAATCGTTAGATCAAATATTAATCCAACGGATCAGAGTCGATGTCAGAAGTATGGCAGCATAGACTGGGGCTAGCAAAAGGAAGAGTTGTCTGATCACTCTCATCCAACGATCATGATGCAAAACAAGTTGGCCACTACTACCTGACACCATCTTCACCATCCGATGAGCTCACATCCGACTATCAATAACAAAAGCAAGTTGGCAACTAGCGCAAGTGCCCACTAGTAAGGGCAGGCGTGGTCTCCTCTTCTGCGAGATCCAGATGGACATCGGCCGGGACGCCATACTCCTCCCTGAACGCCGTCAGATCGCTGCCGCCCTTTCTTTCAAGCATTGAAGTCAAAGTTCTCATGGGATGCCGAGTGTGACCGAGCTTTGGCCGAGCTCAAGGATTATTTGTCTTCTCCGCCGCTGTTGGTTACACCAGAGCCGGGTGAGGAACTCTACCTTTACCTTGCCGTCTCCCAGCACGCAGTAAGTGCGGTGTTAGTCCGGGCTGAAGGAATCAAGCACCTCCCAATTTTTTATGTCAGCAAAACTTTGTTACCGGCAGAATCAAGGTACTTGCCACTGGAGAAGCTTGCCTTGGCCTTGATGATGGCTTCAAGAAAATTGGCGCACTATTTTCACGCCCATACGATCATCGTATTGACCGAGTTTCCCCTCAAGGCTTTTTTTGAACGCGCGGACTTTTCAGGCCGAATTCTAAAGTGGGCAGTCGAGTTGGGACAGTTTGATGTGAAGTTCCAGCCGTGCACCGCCATCAAAGCCCAAACCTTGGCAGATTTTGTCGCCGAGTTCTCACCTGGCACTCATCCGGTATGCCCGGTCGACATTACCGAGGCAGATGATGAGATGCACGCAATGCCAACCGAGGAACAACTAGTTGAATTAGGTAGCGCCGCGGAGTCAGCGCGCACCATCAAAGTTCCCTCAGTTTGCACGGTCATACCACCCGGTGATGCGATGACGGAGTTGTGTATCACCAACCCATCCACTCTGTCCGGTACCGCATCACCAAGGGGGGAAGAAATTGGACCACACTGCTCAGAACTTAATGATTCGCCTACGGACTTGGGCATTCTGAACCAACTTGCTGAGTCCGGTGCCGAATCATCAAGGGGGGAAGGCATGGTTCCACATAGCTCAGAACCTGCGGCCGGATTCACACCGCAACCTGATGATTCGCCTACGGACTTGAGCATTACAGAACAACTTGCTGAGTCCGGTGTCGAATCACCAAGGGGCACTGAATTTGAACCGGTCAACACCGAACTTGACACCGCACAGCCGAGCAGTTGTGATCCCATTGCCCTTCGCAACTCTCAGGACCCATCTGACTGCTGGAAGCTTTTTGTGGGGGACATGTGGAAGCTTTTTGTTGATGGAGCGTCCAACCGCCATGGTACCGGCCTAGGTATCGTTCTTATATCCCCGGATGGCCTAACCATTGAACATTCTATCACGCTTGGCTTCCCGGCGTCTAACAACGAGGCTGAGTACGAGGCACTTCTCGCCGGGCTCAAGAGCGCAATTCAAATGAAGGCTGCCGAGCTCCTTGTGTACAGTGATTCCCAGCTTGTGGTTAACCAAGTTTCTGGGATTTATGAAGCAAAGGATGACAGGATGGCGAAGTACCAAGCTCTGGTCAGGGAACACATCAAGCAGTTTGAGGCAATCAGAGTCCAACAGATTGGCCGGGAAGAAAACAGCCGAGCTGATGAACTAGCCGGCCTCGCTTCCATGGTAGATAGTACGTCTCCAAACCCCCTGTTGATAGACTTTCTTCCGCGGCCGAGCGTTGAAGACGCCGGGCAGACGGATGTACTCTGCGCCGGGCTAGGTCCTTCCTGGATGGACCCCTTGATCTTATTCCTCAGAGACCGGACTCTACCAACAGACAAGAAAGAAGCCCACAAAATCCGGGTGAAGTCAGAGCGGTTTTGGCTCTCTCCATCAGGCGCGTTGTATAAGAAGTCCTTCACCGGTCCTTATCTCAAGTGCGTGCACCCGAACAGTGTGGAGGCCTTCTTGTTTGAAATTCATGAAGGCAGTTGTGGCAGCCACGTCGGGGGACGGTCCTTGGCTTACCGAGCTATTTCGCAGGGATACTGGTGGCCGTGCATGCAGGCCGACGCCCAAAAATATGTCCGCAAGTGCGAAAAATGCCAGAAATTCGCCCATCAGATCCACCAGCCTGCCAGGGAACTTCTTCCCCTCACCAGTCCTTGGCCCTTCGCCATGTGGGGGCTAGATATAGTGGGACCGTTGCCAACAGCACCGGGCAACCGGAAATTCTTTATTGCGGCCACAGACTATTTCACGAAATGGGTTGAAGCTGAGCCCTTGGCAACCATCAAAGAAAAAGACGTGAAGCGATTTGTCTGGCAGAACATTGTCACGCGGTTTGGCGTCCCCAAGATTTTGATCTCTGAAAA